AATTCTCGCAAAGTGAAGGTATACTAGCGAAGTATAACAAGATACACACACAGCCACCAGCCGGAAAGCAATATATTTTCCTAGGCGTCCATTCCGCCCATTTAATTGAATGTCGAAACGCCACCTCCTGTCGAATGGGTCCGACGAAACAGGATATTGCTGTCCAGCGACCGACAGTCACGCTCCCCTGGCGTCACACAAAGGTGCGAGCCCGGCTTTGTCGCGGCCAGTGGTCAACAACGTAGGGTGGCTCGTTAGATTCTGTTTGCTTTTTCACCTCGACCGCTATTGTTTCGTCAAATGAGCCCAATGCCGGCGTCTTAATTAAACGGGAGCAAAATTAGGTGTTAAATAAAAAGGTAAAGTAAAATATACTTTTTAAGATGTATAACTACAAGACACATGGGTACAACAGGCGGCCTTATCACTAAAACAGCGATCTCTTCCAAGCAACTTTAGGGCAAAGGGTTCATTACAAGAAAAAAAAGGTTTACTAAATAAATAAGAAGAGTAAATACACAATATCGATTGTTGGTATTTTTTTTGCATTTTGTCAACTTATGAAATATGATAAATACGTGATATTTACGCGCGCGGACACACCCAAGTCGTTTTATCTTTAAACAAATTAAAAAAAAAAGTCTCATCTGACCACAATACTAAGAAAAAATATTTGAAATTGTAACCTAACACTTGCAACTGTAGCGACTGTGTAGCGGTTTATAATTATATTTATAAGGTTTTTTTCTTATCAATGTTTCACTTTTTGACAAATATTCGTTGGTTATTTTAAGTAAAGGACTCAAACAAAAAACAATACGTTTGGCGATTGATAAATCTGTAAAAGAAGTCTCACTCCTATCTCTACCTATACCATTTCAGAGTTATAGAGATTAGATTACACATTAAGCGTATATTATTAATGTAACTTTGCAGAGTTTATTATAAAAGTCATTAAAGGCTGAACACTATCCCTGGGCAACAGTGGAGAACCGTGCCGCTATCGCTTAAATATGTTATGTCAACAGAGACAGTTTTAACGCCAGAGCCGTCAACGCATGACACGCGCCGTTATCTGCTACTCAATTAATTATCAAAACCCTGTAATAAGCTTTGAGATCTAACTCGATGTGAACTGGAACGAATAGATTTTGTTTGCGCCTGCGGGAATAATGTCCCGACTTATCAACACTAAGGCTCAGCATCCCGAGACAAAATTGCTATTTAAATTTCTTTCGACCAGCATTTGGCCACATCCACCACTACAGAGTTTGCTTCAAACTGTTCTTCGTAGGTGCAGGAGACGAGACGCAACGGACATTGCGGCAAATAGCCTTATGTGTCCTTGAAGAAACCCCACTACACTCGGTTATCTTGGAATCTTTTAATAAATGCGATTTAAGTACTGCCAGGTAACAATACGTCTGGCGTAAATTAAAGCACCAATAACTATGCGCTTCGTCAGGTTGACTTGACTCGCAACAGTAGGCATCTATAGGCGACGATGATAAATAATGAATAAATAAATATTTTAGGACACATTTTTACGCAACGGTCTCTTGTACCAAACCAAGCAACATTTGAACTCTGGGTACTAGGTAACAGATATAAATACTTAAACATACTATTCTTTTGTAAATAATTACATATTATACATATATAAATACCCGGACGCTGGAAAAACAATGAGTACATCACACAATGTTTTCCCAGTGGGGATCGAACCCATACCCTCTGGCGCAAGAGGCAGGCTCACTACCCACTACGCCAATCGGGTTTGCATGGTTGCTTGCAGTCAAGTGTAACACTTGGTCGTTTTTCGAATCTCTTAGAAAACCTGCAGTTTCTAGAGTTCTCTACACTAGAACCAATGACTTCTGAAACTGTAACGGGCTTCACTAAAGGTACATTGAGAGCGCGGAGGTGATTTACGCGGCGATAAGTTAGCCTTCAGTAAGGAATAGCTATGGTGTCTTTAATACCTCAACTTTAAGACTTGGCTTTAACTTTAAGACTTCCTTTTGTTTCGACTTTATCCGCCTACCAAGCTTCTTCGACTTTCACGTTATGTTTAGCGATTGATTGAAATTTATTATTTCCGTTTGATTGAATTGAGCTGTAATAAAGAGGCCTTGTGAAATATGACGTTCATCACCATCATTGAAAACAGAGGGAGATAGAAGTCACGAACAGGTCAGTTGGTAAATGCAAATTTAAATAAAACATAGTATACTCGATACTGGAATTATTATATTCATGTGTTATGTGATATTACAGAGCACACGTTTTTATGATTTCCACATTGATAAAGAGTTTTTTTTTTAATCTTACATCTTAATTGTTGCTAGTGTTAATTGTTGTTAGAGTTATACTTAATAACTCCAAAATATGGCAATTATTAACGTCATGCTTTAATTTTTGCTTTGGTACTTAATGTTATAGAAACAAAGCAATAAAATGATGTTATGGAAATAAAGCAAAAAGAAAAATAAGGGAAAGTCGCATTAGCCTTCAGAAAGTGGAAGAGTGGAAAATCGCTTACTCTGAAAATTCGTAATCTCTGCCTACCCTTAAATACATTAATTACTTAACTAAACAAACTCATTACTAGCGCGCATAGTTCTAATACAACTCAGATATACTTAAAAAACACACTGCCTTTTGTGTGGCGGCTAGCAATTAATACAGTAAATTGAAACCACCGAGCACCCTCAACAGATTCCACGATAGCGGCCCTCGGGATTACTTATTCCGCACAAATACCCCGAGGAAAGTTCTCGAGTTTGAACGTAGGAAAAAAGGAGCGAATCGAAGAACTGTTAATGAGGGGGGGGGGGGGGGGGTACTATATGAGCCGAGTTTATCCGGCTTCCGTCTTAAAGTTTCGCATTAGGAGCGCTTGGCGGTCGCGTTCGCAAAAGAGCCACGTACAAACATTCCTGGCGTAATTGAACTAAAGAAGCGGTACCCTGTAATGTTCCGTAATAGGTGGTCTCGGTTGGAGCACGTAAGAATTTTAACCGCTTTATAGCGTAGAATATCAGTTAAGTTAAATATAGATATCTTTGCTATGGAAATGGACAGTACGAGGTAGTGTATAGTATAGTAGAGTATAATGCATGCATCTACCTGTATGCCTTATAATTTCTAGTGATCTTATTGGTTCTTAACTAACGTCATTTCGAAATTTGAAATGTTTTCGTAGTATTAAAGACTGTAGGTTGGTCGGCCAAAATAAAATAGTGAGGATAGCGTAAACAACTTTATATATTAATTAGACTACTTCCTACTTATTAGGACAGAGTAACGTCCTATACAAAGGATAAGAGTGTTCTACCCTATCACTGAAATATTATGCGCTTATATACAAAAATATAATGAGTCATCACAACTACATTACAAATCAATGCACTTATTAAATTACTAATACAGTTAATTAGATTGAACCTATTAAATTATAAATTATTACTAAGCATGGTTTATTATATAATATTATACCAGATATGGTTCAATGTTTATTAAGTATAATTGTTATTGCTCGTATATTAAGCAGTGTTGCCAGTGGATTGTAACAGTAGCTTTGTAATGTCATTTCGTTAACATTTTAGTATTTATAAGTGACCGGCCATATAGCTCGTAGATCTGATAACCGTTGGGGAAGAAAGGTTCTCGAGTGGGAGCCTCTTACTGGCCATCGCAGTGTTGGACGACCCCCCACTAGATGGAGTGACGACCCGTGCAAGTGTGCGGGAAGTCGATGGATGCAGGTGGCTCAGGATCGTGCTTCGTGGCAGTCTGTGGGGGAGGCCTATGTTCAGCAGTGGACTCGAACAGGCTGAAATGATGATGATGGTGATGAAGTGGTGAAAACGGAGGGGGTTGCTGATCTATTTTAGGGCTCTGTAGTTCTTTATATAACGTTACTTTAATAAACTATTTTTTCATAAAATTGGAAAATCACATGGCTTCCATTTCTTGTATTATAAAACGTAAAACTTATCAGGAGCATAAATTATTCTAACCTATAGTATATCCGCATAATTTTTATCCGTTTCTTCTGAGGTTCTTATTTAGAAATCCTAAGAAAACATCGTTCTTAAGAGCTAGAAAACTGGCCATGAAATGACATTTTAGCCATTTCTTCCCAGTTCTTAACTTAGAAATGTTTCAATGGGACGTACAACTTCAGACATCCGTAACAAACGCTCGGAGCCTCGCGGTACATAGCACGGTGCGTATTTATCTTTCCACAAGCGGATGGGATACTTCAGTCTGAGCCCCCCACTAAGTGTCAATGCGAAATGGGGGAGTGCTGAGTAAGGGCACAGTCGAAAAGAGGATTCGCTACTGTCGGCTTTGAGCCGACTTGTCGCGACCAGCCAATTTAGGGCGGCCTGTGACGGCGGTTTGAAGGAGCGTCGAGCGATACTTAGAACGGACAAAACAAATGTACATTAAACAAGTGCACGTTATTACCGTAGTGATTCCGTATCATTATATATAAAAAGTACAAAAAAATCGTGTCCGTTGTGTAGGAGCCCCGGTTAAATATTTTTTTAATATATATATCGTCTTTGAAAATTTCAACTCTCTAACCGCCACGATTCATGAGTTACGGCTTGGAGAAAGACGGACAGACAGACGGACAAACAAACAGACAAACAGACGGACGGACAGATAGAAAGACAAACAGACAGACAGACAGACATAAAGAAAGGGACAGAATGGGTCCCTTTTGGGTACGGAACCCTAAAAATATGCGATTTCTGTTAAAGCTCACAGCCCGCTTCAGAACTATGCCATAACAGATAGATACGCTGAAAGGTGTTTCGTTTTAAACGCCTGCTTCATATTTTCAAACAACCGTATTAACTCTCAGTTATTTCGTTTATTATTTGTAACCGCAGTAACTAATTAGCACATCTAGATGAAACAACGTGTTTCTTCTTTTCTTATCATTACAAGATTATTTATGCTGTATTATCACTGCGGTAACCCACTCAGCAGCTTCTGCTGCTTCGGCAGGGGAGTATCGCGGCTCATAGTAGACCATTTTCATAAAATTTCCCTTACTTTAGGGATAACATTATCCTGTGTTGTAGGGCCGTTTTACATACATAAATTTCACGCGGACAAACACCCAGATGCGAAACAACTATCTGTGGGTCACACATAGTTGTCCCGTGTGGGAATCGAACCCACGACCCCGACGCCGAAGCCATTACCTTGGCAACTATGCCACGGAGTCATCGCCTCGGTCTGAAGTGGATGTATTGATATGATCACGTTTCTTCTGTGAGTGAGGTAACCAGATCTCTCTTTAAGGGTTGGTAACGCCAATGAAAAAGTACCTGGACAGCATTGGTTGTATACGAGACAATGACACAATAAGCGGTCGTTTAATATAAAACGTCAAAATTTATAGAAAAATGGAGGAACAGTTCAAAAAACTTTTAAACCTATAGTTCGGCAGTTACATCGTCCGGACACGATTACCAGAGACGCGAGTTCGATTACTGCGGCGGCGAAAGAACTTGTCGTTCATTTTTCTACAAAATTTTCATGTTTTACATAGCTTAATATACTCGTATCTCTAAACAACCGGTGCAAACTCAACATTCGACTTTTTCATCCCCATCTACGAAGCAGCCGCTGCAAAATTGTAATATGAAAATATCTCGATACCTCAGTTTTCCCGTTCAAACAACTTGAACCGCAGTATTCTCAAAAGCCCCTTAATGAAGCTAGCCCCAGTTCTTAATTCCAATTGCATTACTCGTCTGGCACTATTCGTCTTTGCTGCGCTCCACGGGATTTTTACTCTCGACCTTTCACTTCGCTCTCAGATCATTAGATTATCGAACTTTTATTTATACGAGGTCACTTCTTAGTGGTTGATTTACTAGGCTTCGAGGCCAACCTGGGTGTTTGTGTCCAGGCTTTCTTACGTTCTAAAGACATTGTACTTTACTATGTCCGCTCCTGTCTAGCTATATATTGTAAACATTAATTATTTAATATAACAAACAAGAAAGCAATTAGCAGTAATTTACATCGAGCAACTGCTCAGAGATTTGGAGAATAAGTTCTATCTATCTCTGCTTACCTGTACGGATTAAATAAAGAAATTTGAGTAACAGGTCCCAAGTTGTCTGGACCCCTTTCTCAATACATATTCCAAATATGCTATTAGTATTATCTAGATATAATCAACACTAAATATCAAAAATGAGTGAGTGACCAATTAGGCAAAATATTTCACGTGCTGTTAGAGTTAAAACGCCGATGTGAGAAGCAAATCAGATAGACAAGACGAAATGTTGTTAAAGTGTGTTTATACCGATTGTAAGCCGCGGCGCTTAATTGCGATCGTGGGTATTTTTCCGCATCGAACGGTGGACACCTGAGATTGAACAAACAAAACACTAACAAGAAAAACAACAGAACAAAAGCATATCGGACGAATTTAACGTTATTTTCACGACTGTCGTTATTTAAACAGTGAGGCAGAGCTTCGGCCGAGAGTCTATTGTTTCCGCGGGCTGGGAACTGTGGAGGAGTGGAGAGGTAACTGCGGGCGACTGACGGGTGTTTCAAAACGTCAAGTGTGAATTGTGACCGGTCTGAACAGGCCTGTGAAGATTTCATTTAGTCATCAGATTAAGCTCAAAGCGATAAATACAGTACATCTAAAAAGTCTGAAAGTGAAATGATGTTTGTTTTAATAAACAATAAGATTGTCCACTGGAACTTACAATTGCAATCTGGAGGCAACGGTTCGATTATTACGATACGATACCTTACCTATAACTAGCCTTACTAAAGATACAAAAGGCACTTGAAACCTTCTATGCGCCTAAATAAAACAATAAGATCAAGCTTGAGAACAAACTGGCAAATCCTTTGGCTGGTGAGCGCCATAAAAAACAATTAGAAGAAGAAGAAAAAAAAACAACAACCGCACAACAGGCGGCCGTTGAAACGGAGCGTCCGAGCGGAACGGAGCAGTCTGAAAACGGTTTATAAACACTCGAAACTGGAAACTACAATAGGATAGGGAGGCGCGAAAAAGCGCACAGCCCGCCGGAAGTGGCAACAAGCCCCGGCCGCGAGGAAAAGGCAATTATTGACTTTTTCTAACTCCACTCGCCCTGCAGCCAGGGTAGCCTGTCGAAAGTAGATAAGACGACCTAATTAAAACGCGTTTCCGTACTCGCCAAGTTCTTATTTGACGGAGGGCCGCAAACTTACCCGAAAGCCCGCACGCGGTGGGGGGGAATAAGTTTCGCTCCGCATGTAATTGTTTATCAAAGTTCCGTTGTGCACGTGTGTTGAAGAAGCTGTGAATTTAACGACTGGAATTCCCGCATAAGTTAAACGTAATAAAAAAACAATTTTATTGTATCTTATATTAATGATGTATGGTACGATAAAATTGTGTTTTATCCATTTATTGTATAAAGAGAATTGGGTTTAATCGTGCATATCTTTGCATTTTAAATAAATGTTTTCGTCGTACCTAATACGGTGAACGCTTGAACGAAATATTAATTAAGTAAGGAAATGAGAAGGTAAAACCTGACCTTGAAAAAAAGGGCTACCACTTATCAGTTCATTAGTATAGTATTATTACGTATAACACAGTAGCTTTAAAAAAAAAAACGAAGGAGAATTTGTTTTGCCAACTTGCCATTGTAAAATTTACATTTCTTTTCTTTTTAAATTTACAATAGCAATTTTAGTAATGAATGAAAAAGGCAGTCTTCATATTTATATATACCCGATAAATAGTCGGCTACTGCGTAACTGATAGACAGAGATATTATGATATGGTGAAAATATGAATATATAATATTCTATCTTTACGATTCATCATTTCAGCCTGATTTAGTCCACTGCTGAACATAGGCCTCCCCCATAGATCTTTCATCTTTACGATTAGTGAATGTTATAAGTAGGTTACATATTTGTGTATTATAATATGTTCTCTAAATTACTTCTGTGTATATTTTAGTTTGTGACCTCTAACTTAAACTTTCTGTTTAAAATAAAATAAGATCAATACCGGTTATGAACGATAACCCTCGCAAGAGTTTTCCCAAGGGCAATTATAATAATAATATTAGTCTCAGAGGTGGAAATGTTCCCGTATATTAGTTTTTGCGTATTCGTGGGGCTGTGGCGAAACGGCGTCCGGGCACATTTCGGTCCACAATCAGCCGGCACAATAGGGGACCTCAGCAAATAACCGGTGGCCGAGGTAAATAAACGCGACCCGCGACGGAACGAGCCTGCCCGCTGTGAAGTGACGTAAGCCCAGCTGTTCCGCCCTTGACCTCGGGAGAACTCGTTGATTCGATTTTGGTTTAAAGAACTCGCTTTGAATGGCATAAAACATCTTTGTGATCCATTTGTCCCCAGTCTATATCACCGGGCTTATTTACCTTTGAGTCTTAATGACTCAGTCAGATGAGTGGTCGTATTTGAAAAGTATTTGCTATCCCTTGATGGAGCCTTTACGTAGCTGTTCAGCACCGTACTACCATCCCACTCAGTGTTGAACGATGTATTTCCAATCATGCATCACCTAAAGACTAAAAGACTAACTTTTATCCGGATTTACTACACTCGTGACAACTGACTCTGGTTGGCTTTGTCTTCTAATTGATTACGATTTATAATCTAGCGTGGATTAATCTCTTCCAAGAGGATTTTCTATATGAATGTGATCAATTTCAATCTCATACCCATAAAATATATAACTCAAGATATAAATGTACCTCAACCCATTGCTCCGTTGCTGCGTAGGAAAAGGGCAAAGGAAGGAACGTAGCTTTTCATTTCAAACATTAAAATGGATAAATTTCGTGCAGTTACTTTTTAATTTTCTACAACACACTTTCCGTTCGGGCATTCTGCGTTATTAGAATTGCGAAGCGCTCAGTAATGGCCCGTATAGAGGCTTGGGGTATTTGCGCTCAGTTTTAAAACTTTAATTCTTAATTTCGTAAAAAACTTTAATTTCGTTCCCTTTAACGAAAGGGCTCCGTTCTAATTTCGAATTACTCAAGTGCTGGCCTCCCCGGGTGAAATTCAGAAATACGCCAGTTTTCAGTTCAACGTATTTCTGAAAAATGCCGGCAGTTCATTGTTATATGATAATTGGTTTAATTTTGTTAACGCTCAGTTAATTCTCGAGCGCTAATTTCCTTAGCAGTACATGTTGTTAAACTGACTCTAAGACCAGTTTGCTGAGACCACATACAAGTTTCTTTTTTTTTTATGCGAAAGTTGTCAAACGAGCAGACGGTTCACCTGATGTTAAGTGAATACCGCCGCCCATGGACATCTGCCACACCCGAGGGTTACAGATGCGTTGACAAACTTTTGAAAATTGGGCTCCGGCTACCTCACTCACCAGACGAAACGTGAAAGTATTTGTCATACTTCCACTTTACGATGGTCTTCTGTGAGGTCGTGGTACTTATCCGGATGGGTCTGCCCATTCGTGCAACAGCCGAGGCTTCTGCGTGGCCCTACCACCATAAAACCCACTTAAAATTTTCTGCCACATTGGGTTTAAGATCTGCGAATAGAGCAGCCATGTCGATACATTTATAAAAAAAAGAGTTTTCTGGCAATGTAATAGGTAATTTTTTTTACTAAAATTAGCTCGGATTTATAATGACAGTCGGACGTCTGACGCCTTAGTGTTCAAAGTTGTTGCAACGTATATAAATGAGTTGTATCCGCAAAAATAGTTACAAAGGACAAAATAATAGAAAATAAAAAATAAAATCCAAAATACTATTAGTGTAACATTTACTTGCTAATCTTGTTGTTTTAATCGTAAATTGCGAGTTCTATTCTCCCACTGGCCACAATACTGTGCACTCAGAGACTACAATTACTTAACTAAAATCAAATTATATTTTATCAAGTTGACTCTTATTAATACTGAACTTACGAAAATTAATGACTTGTATATTATTTTAGTCGTCACTGATGTGAATTATTGCGGTCGTAAATTGCCTACGCCTATG